TCTAAGGGGTTATTGTTCCAGTCGATCCATTTGCTCCATTCGATTCGATCAAGGCATTTGCCACCAAAAGCCTGGGCAAAGTTTTCACATATCTGGCGGGGAAGCTTATGTGTTTCGAGCAAGGAAATTGATGCCACCACTTTCAAGGTTCTTGTTCTTCCGGGCAAACCTGACAATGTGGCCATCAGTAATTGCTCGACGGGATTCCTGCCAGGTTCATGGGAAACCTTTTCTTCTGATGTGTCAGGTTGGTGGCTCCAACATGTCGTTGCTGTGCCCGACACGATCATCGGTGCTGCTGTTATGGAAACCATCTCTGACCATGATGCTGCCGCTATTGGGCACAAACAGGGTAGAGGTTGCACGCCCTAGAAATCCAAAATTTCTGAGGGCACAGTTGCCACTGACCAGTCGTGTCCGCCTTAGTGTGGCTAGGAATAAGTCTTGTTCTGCTCGCCTCATTCGCCTTGTTCATCCTGCTTGTGGCCGAACGCCGGTCTGTGAGATGTGGCAAGACTGCAAAGTCAGGTGCAGGCTGAAACACACCGCAGCTCTCACAATCCCTTGTGTGCTTCAGGTGCGATTCGCTGGATCTGATGAACCACCATCAATGCCATCGTCACCATCAGGTTCATTGCCAAGGGTGACCAATTTCAGGCTGCCAAGGAACTGCAAGGTTCCTTGTGCCTCAGGTCTTCCAGAATTTCAGTCCTCTGAAATGGTCCCAATGACAGAAGCAGTTCCATCATTGTCATCCTTGTCAGGGTTGTTATGGTCCTCCGGGTCATTGTGGTCATCCAGGTTCTCCTGGTCATCATTGGCAACATTGCCAATGCTGTTCCTGGCAGATTCATTGCCATGGCTGTATGCATTGGGGATAGAGTTTGCATGCAACCTGAGTTGTCTGGAAATCCTGACAACCCAGCTGGTGCAGATTGGCCATTATTGCCTCCATGATGTTGGCGCAGTGACCAATTGGATCACAGCCATTCCGGTTGGCAGTTCAAGCTTGTTGCCACCAGTTGGGGCTTCTCCACCACCACCACTCTGGCATGAGGTCAAAATATTTCTGGAGGTGCTAATTGCCCCAATGGTTCAAGGAGCAGGCCACACTCTGGATCCTTTGAGGAACAACATTCTGTCAGACCTTCGTTTCTTGCTTTGGTTGCATGCCACCTTGACATTGGTGACATCAGCAAGGCTGTCATTGCAATCACTGGCATCATTGCTGCCACGAATGTCATCC